CATTCCTTTAAGTTTTACTCACAAACAATCCTTGTCTTACTAAGCCATGGAAAATGAAAGATTGGCAGCTGAGGCAGCTCTTTGTATGACAGTTTGACTTGACTTGCATTTCGCTTAAAAGTGCTTAATGAAGAGATTCTTAGGTCGATCTCGCCAGAAAAAAATGGCGAGACTGGAAGGAATCTCTTAATATGTTGATCAGTTTTCCTAAATAATGCTGATTCACGCAATCCTCGAGACACCCTTTTTCGATTCCGAGGAAGACAATAGAAAGCATCAGAGCTGGGCTACATCCGCACAATAGTCCCGGGCAAAAAAACTAATCGGCTAGTCTTTATCATGTCTCTTTCTCAGTATACGCATACATATATACCGAATATAGATAGATTTAGTTAGTTTTATTGGATATCTATCCATACTGGTGCCAACTGGTGCGTCTGTGCTTCTGTATAGGCAAGTGTAGGCATACGAAGCCACATGGATAGTTCCGAGTAATCGGAGCAGAACAGAAAAGTTTTAGGCTGTTAGAAGAATGCGCATCACATTTATGGATGGAGGCCAAGCACGCTTATGATGGCGCCGGAGGAGGGCGTCGCGAGGAGTGCGTAAATTGGGATGCTTCAGGAATACCAAAATGGTGGGCCAACAGGAAACCGCAATCGTGTTTCGATGAGATTGGCCCATAGCCTTTTCAGTGCACGCTTCCAAGTGAAATTAAAGTCAACTAACTGAGCGAATAGTCTGATTTTTTGGAGACTTTTGACAAGATCCCACTTGTCGTCAGCAAAGCTAAGGTGATACCAAAGTCGAATTCAGTCTTACCTCCGGCGATGATACGGCGATCTCTGGCGGCCTGATCGAAGAAGATAGGTGCGGTCAAATTATCGGGGATAGCAGGTGATGGTCTAACCTCGAGTGGCTCAGGCTGTGGCATTATCTCCTCGTAGCCGCACTTGTCCTCGCGAATCGTATCTTTGGTTGGCAAGGCACAAAGAAGAGAGGATAATCTGGATGAGTATGCATAGAAGTGGGTTGAGTAGATGGATAGGCTTAAGTAGGTGGTTGAGCAAACTGACTGATAAGTGAGTTGGCCGACGGATATTGAAGTGAGTGGACGAAGAAAAGAATAATTTCTGGATGGAGGATGGGAAGTGGATGGATCGATGGTAGCTAGGTGTTGTGGTGAGAGAGCAGGCGCAGTTATGGATGAATGAGTAAACGGGCGGGGTACTGGGCGGTTGAGCGGATTGACTGGAAAGTGAATGGAAGAATGGATGAGTGAAATAATTGGGTTGCCGGGGCAGGGAGTGGATGAGTTGGTGACTGTGTTGGCTGGTTGATGCTCGAACGAGGCTGATGACTATGCGGTTATGTGGATATATCGCTGGGTCGGTCTGCGGATTGGTAGTGTGGTGGGGCAGTGGATGATACATGAGTGGTTTGACAAGGCCGGGTGAATAAAGTGAATCAAATGATGGCCCGGCAGAAATGTCATTGACAAAACCGCCTTGGCACACAGTCTCCCGGTAGCATTGACCTCACTGTGCATTTATCATGTGCAGTCAGTGAAAACCATTTAGTCAAGGGTCAAAGAAGTGGGTTTCTGAGACGTGGCTGACTACAAATGGAATTCCCTAAGAAGGCAAAACCTGTTGTCAAGTTGTGTGGAGTTGGAGACGAAGAATAAAATATCACCGGATATTTCATTTCTTATGCAGAGTCGGTTGGAAGGGCTTCGTAAATATGCCGTATCGACTACCGGGGGAAGATTTCCATGCAGTTGTGAATGTTAATTTGAGCCTAAGAGTCCTCGTCTAGCCTCTCAAGACAGGCATCCTCAAAGCGAGAGAAAGTTCTTTACAAAAATCCATAAACCCCAAAGCCCAAAATACAGGTCGACTAAAATCATGCCTACCCTTGTGGCCTAATTTCAATAGTTTTTCCTTACGGGTGAAGTGGATGTGAACGTGGCCGAAAATACTCTTCATCTGCTGGATGATCT